AGATGTTGGTTTGTCATTTTTATGTTGCTTTAGAGACTCAGTGATGGCTTATAATATGATTACATGGATTAACATGAACATCACTGTAGAACCTTTTACATAAACAATACTCCAATGGTCTAGATGGTCATATAAAATTTTTAATAAATGAATTACAATTAGCAATACTTTTCTTTCTATACTTTTGGAATTGGAAGTTAATATCATTTTGACTTGAAAGCAACAATCATTTTTAAAATTGAAAGTTTATTAAAATTGTTCTTTATATCAAGTGGCTTGTAAAAGAGTTGTGTTTCTAAGACACAATTTCTCTACTTGTATCAATTTTGAATCAATAAGATGTGAAATGAAAAATGGAGTTTCAAATTTTCTGGCTGGTAATGGTTTTTGAACCACAGGAGGTTGCTGTGAAGAAATTCCTAGACCAGGATTTCTCAGGTGCTGCTTTGGCTGAATTCAAAAGAGAAGTAAGTGAAGAGTTAAACTCAGGATTTCTGTTTTTAGTTTTGTCTCCAAATGATAGAAACTTGTATTGCAAGATGCTTTTAGTTTTTCTATTGTCTTTCATCTAGAATGCAAGACATATGCAAGTTGATGAAAAGAAAGGGACATGTACAAGCTCAGGAAGGGCATAAATGTCTGGTATGAGCTTGTGTTAATGACTTTTGAACCAGGCGAACTGATTGACTTTGGATATTTGTTTTCCTCTTCAATTTAAGGTGTGGATAATGTGTAGACTGCGTCATCCAAATGTTGTTCTTTTTATGGGTGCTGTTACTCATCCTCCAAACCTCTCTATCATCACTGAGTTTCTTCCAAGGTATGAGGTACACCTTCATTTTGTAATCAACTTTCTTGCTGAATTGAATCTTTTTGCAAAGCAATTTCGATATCCAACGTAAAATGTAGACAGTCTATGACTTTACTGCTGTGAGCATGTGTGTGTTGTGTTGTCTTTTGCATCTGTATCTAATGTGTTGCTGTTGTCTGTTTTTCCAGAGGAAGCTTGTATAAGATTCTTCATCATCCTAATTGTCAAATTGATGAGAAGCGTAGAATAAAAATGGCTCTTGATGTGGTATGAAAATAATTATCATTGCAAATTTTGTTGTCCAGTATTTAATAACTACATCAAATTTCAAATCTTGCTTCATTTGCAGGCAAGGGGTATGAATTGCCTACGCACCAGCGTTCCCACAATTGTTCACTGGGATTTGAAGTCACCAAATCTTTTGGTTGATAAAAACTGGAATGTCAAGGTTTTTGTTTTCTCTTTCTTTTGGTTGATTATCTACTTCCAATATCATCAACTGCATGTTGATAAGTCTTGCAGAAACTGGTTGGTCTGCTTTTTGATTGGTGTAATCTTGAGGCACAAGGATTCTCTTCTTGTTTCTTCTTATTGTTTTCATGAGTTACATCAAAAAATTCTAATGCCACTGCATTAATTATGATCTAATTAGTTAACATTGTGGATTCATTAGTTTGTCTTATACTTCTAAACATTAACTTTTTTAAGCTGCTGTCATGCATTTGTATTAGTTTCAGTCATAAATTCATAATGGAAAACTAATAAGAGCTGCCAAATATATATGAATTAGAAATTTGAGCAAGTCATCATAGTTCAAGGAAATTCTTATATATTGCTGTCTTTTCATCCAAGCTTGACTTGTTTGCGTATAAACAGTTGTACTGACTTAGCTGTGCCTCTTTTCATTTCTTTTTGGAGTTTAATTGAGGGTATTGCATGACCAATTTCCTTCCTTGTTGCAAGACACTTGGTATTAACATTTTTGTTGGATAAACCCTTCAGGTTTGTGATTTTGGGTTGTCACGCTTAAAGCATAATACCTTCCTCTCATCAAAATCAACTGCAGGAA